GGGAGGATCTTTCTAAGAGCTATTTTTTCATGAAGTTCGGTGTTTGACAAAGCATTAATCCCATATACTTTTATGGGTGGGCAATAAAATTTATTTGGGGTTATAGACCTTACATTAAGAAAAATTGGGGGCCTCCCCGGTGGCGCAGCGGTTGAGCGCTGGGTTGCGAAGCTGCCCACGGCCTCTGCGGCGCCGGTTCGATCCCCGGCTGCTCCCCGGCCCCGGAGGAGGATCCCACATGGTGCGCGGACCTCTCCTGCCGCCCGCTGCTCCCCTCAGCGGTGTGCTTCGGTCCTTCTGCCTGTTCTGCCCCGCTCTGGCTCTGGTGAATTCTCTCACCCTCCCGCGCTTCTGACTGTACCCAGTGCATGTATAAACAAAACAAACAAACAAATATAATAAATAAATAAAAAACATGCCTCTATAAAAAAAAAAAAAAAAAGAAAAAATTGGTTAGAAATTTGGCTGACTCTTCTATAAGTGTGTTTTGCTTAAGAGATTGTGAAGTATCTGTTTTGTAAGTTTTGAGAGTAGTAAAATGTAATCACTGCTTTATTTTAAAACCTGGAGACTGTTATAATTAATTTTCTACTTATTTGCACTTCTCATTAGCAAAACAGGGATTTGGACATGTTCATCAATGCCTCCAAAAACTTCAACCTCAACATCACCTGGGCCGCCAGCTTCTCAGGTAAAAACACACAGCTAAAGAAGACCCCCTGACTGGAGGAAATAGGTTGAGAAATGTGATACAGGAGTTGAGAAAGGAGCTTGGAAGACAGATGGGTTTAACATCCACTTTGCTACTTACTAGACCTTAGCAAATGTTCAAAACCTTCCTCTAGACCTTTGGGTTATTCATCTTAAATAGAAGATAACAGCTATGGTGTGAATAAATTGGATTATGCCTGCCAGTGTCTACTGTGCCATCAGCCGCAGTGTGTGCTCGCTGCCCCTGCTCTGCTGCCACCTCTGCTTCTGGTGCCCCAGCACCACCCTGGAACCACCTGCAGCATCCTCATCTAGCTGCAGAAGGGAAAGATTCAAATGACTCTGTTTCAGGAAACAGAAACATGAGAATTTAGGCACAAGGAAATAAATGTACTCTGGGAATTAAATCAAGCTCTAAGAGCACAGGTTTTTGCTATTTTGTTATCTACTATGATTCTTTAAGGAAGACCCAATGGGCAGAAAATCTCCTAAAGAAATAAAGTGTGGAGAATGTAGGTCAGCAGACCTGGATTTGAATTCTGCCTGTTACTTAGTAGTGCTGTGCTTTCTGAGTCAGTTTCCTTGAAACTGGGATAATAAAGACAACTTAGTTATATAGAATGTTGTGAGAATTCAATAATAAAAGAGGTACTCAATATAGTGCTGGAAATTCATTAAATGGTAACTGTTTTTTCATCATGATATTATTAAGATACTGGTTATTTGGTCAAAACACAACCTGTGAGACTGAAGCAAAATAAAAACATTGACTTTGCATATCACTTTGTATTTATCATATCTTAAAATATTGTATAGAATTCAGAAAAGGTTCAGAAACTTGCAGTGACAAAGATAAATAAGACAGCAATTTAAGAAAAAGTATGGAGCCTCCCTGGTGGCTCAGGGGTTGAAGTCTCAGCGTTATCAAGCAGTTGCCAGCCACTGAAATGCAAGTTCGATCCCTAGCCAGGGAGCTGACTCACATGGCGCAGCAGACCTCTCCTGTCTCACTCGCTGCTCCCCTCAGTAGTGTATTTCAGTAGATCTGCCTGTTTTGCTCCCCACTCTGTCTCTGGTGAGTCTTCTCACCGCCTCTCTCCACCCCTACCCCCTGCACCTCTGGCCTACACCCCAGTTCTTGTATACCTAACTAAATTTAAAAAGAAAGAAAGAAAAAGTCCGAATTATCAGAGCCTTTGTCTGCAGAATATGAATGATTTGCAATGACTCTCTCCTTGAGGACTCAGCTATGCAGAGCAATTGAAGAGTTGTGGGCAGAGTGAATGCCATTACTTGTTAATAGGATTTTAGTGTTTTCTGGGCTTTTATGGCCATATGTATACTGTTTTCCATAGGGGCGGAGGCTGCAGGACTCCCTAGTAAAACTATTCTAAGAGCACAAGCTTGTGGGTCAGCCTGCCCAGCTTCAGATCCTAATTCCACTTCTTGGCGGCTGTGTAACCTGAGTCATGTGACTTAATTTGTCCAAACCTCAGCTTCCTGATCTGTAAATGAGGATGATAATAAAGTGGTTGTTAGTATTAGATGAGACTGAGCGTTAAAGACTGTTGCTGGGACATTGAAATTTTGAGTAAATACTGTTAGCCTTATTATTAATGAGGGTAGATTCTGTCTTAAAAAAGTTTTCAAGTTCATCTTTTTCTTCCTAATAGCTGGAACCCAGGCTGGAGAAGAAATGCCTGTTGTTTCAAAAACCAACATTAAGGAGTACGAAGACAGCTTCTCTAATGAAAAATTTGATTTTCGCAACCATCCAAATATCACTTTCTTTGTTTATGTCAGTAATTTCACCTGGCCCATCAAAATTCAGGTAAGAAGTGCCTGTTGGTCTCCTACCTACAAAAATGGTGAAATCTCTCGTGAAGACTGCATTCACTAATTTGGAACTTGTGGTGAATGAGATTTATAATTTTCTTGCCTTTGTGATATCTGTGGCAGAGGCGTCCTTACTGAGCACAGGAACACCATAAAGAAGCTTGTGGTGGGGATGGCTTGATTCCCCTAGAAACGAAATTTATAAGCACTCTTGAAAGCAAATTGGCATATAACAAATTTAATAATTACAACTGTGTGCATTTCTTTATTAAGCACTTGCCACATAACAGTCTGTAGATCTACACAGTTTGAATTCTGAAATGGGGAGAGTGGATATAAATGAAACAAATGCAGATAGAAACAGTGAAAGCTAGTGTGGAGAGTGTGGTATGAAAAGATCCCAGGAATGCAAGTAGCCTTTAGAGGAGGAGAGGAGGGACAATGAGGGAGGCAGTTTACCATCCCCCTAAGGTGCCCAAGTCCTGCACTAGACTGGATTTTAGTCCTGACTAGCTCACTCTTAGGCAGACCACACCCTCTCCAAGTCTCGGGTGTTTTGTGACCCACAAGAGTAGATCTAAGTATCCGTGTCGCCTGCAGCAGCGACTACCATCATCAGCCTGCTCCTTTTCTCTGTTTCCAGGGGGTCAGTCCCTTGGGAACCCTCTGTGACTCTCTTGTCTGAGACCATGGCATGACCCCTTATGATCATCCACCACTGTGTCCTCAAGGGCCTTGCTTTAATACAGCATAATTTTTTTACCCCCTTCATTTTGGGTAAATGTGGAATTAGGAACGGGTGGTCTTTCAGGAACTGGTTCGCCCCAACTATGGAAGCATAGTCAGGACTGGGCTGTGGCCGTTTGCCAGTTTTCGAAGCATGATTAGTGAAGGAAGTTGTCGCTGATCACTTAGAAAGGTTTGAAATCTAGGTCTAGTGATGTTATGTTCATGTCTTGGGGCTGTGACTAAAGAACAGTCAATCTGGTCCTTTCTGGAATGTGGAGGACAGATTTTTTTCCTCATCACTCTCTTTCCTTTTCCTGTCTAGATAGTCTGCAGATTTGTTCATCCTTTAACCTGCTATTCCCTTTGCTCATAGACTCTCTGCTTCGCTCCTTACCTAGTCTTCTTACAACACTGGCCACACGCCCTATTTCTGTTTCTCTTTTCTATTACCCTGTCAACCCACAAGAGTCTACTTTATTTCCACACACATCCTGAAACTGCCTTGCCATGGTCAGCCCAGTGACCAAATTGTTCTTCTGTCCCCTTTGCCTCATTGTCTGTGTTGAGTCACTGACTTCCTTCTCCTTTTGTCCCCTATTCCTCTGGACAGTCTTTTTAAGAAGTCTTCTTCCTTAAATATGTCTGCAATTCAGGCCTTGGTTCTCGTCTCTTCAGCCCACACAGTTTTCTGGGGTAATTCCATCCCACTTGGACTCATGGTCCTGTTTGTATGCTGGTGGTTCTTAGTGCTCTGCCTCCCAGCTTCCATTTGAGCAGAATAGTGCTCTCAGCTGCTGCCTGGACCTCTCTACCTGGGAATTCAGCTCCCTGCACTCAGCACAGTCATTCTTGTGATCTTTGCCCGGACTGTGCTTCCTTTCTCAGTGAATGGGACCACCGTTTGTCCAGTCGCACGAGCCAGGAGCCGGAACATCATTTGTATTCCTGGGGTAAATGCTGCTTGAGCACAATTTATCATTTTCTTACTTTATGCATTGCTGGATTCAGTTTACTAATATTTTGACTAGAATTTTGTATCTATTTTATGAGTAAGTAACACTTCCCTTTTCTGTCCTGGTGATGGTTTTGATATTAAAGGTGAAGCTAACCTTGAATTTTTGCTCTCATTTCTGGAAGAGATTATATAGTAGAATTACTTAACCTTTAATTTTTGGTAGGTCTCTTCTGTAAAAACTTTTGATTCTGGCGTTTTATTTGTTGGGATTTTTTTTATCTGCTAACCCTACTCTTTAATAGTTGCAGGATATTTTGGATTTTCTCTTTTTATTTGATCCACAAGATAATTTTTTCCTAGGTGTTTCATATTTTTTCCATTTTTTTCCAGGTATTATTTCCTATGTTTTTAAATTTTAAAGTTGTTCACATTGTCTTCTCATGTAACCTCTGCAGCATCTGTGTTTAGCGTATTTAATTTTGCACTGAAAAGTGGTTAAGACTACAAATTTTACCTCATATATGTATTTTACCCCAATTTTAAAAAGTTTAAAAAAATCACAGCAGGGATTTTTGTAAATATATGAAAAGGCAAAGATTCCAGAATAACTAACAGTTTTGAAAGGCAGAAATAAAGTGGGATGAATTATTATATGCAATGTGAAGGCTTACTGTTTAACTACTATGGTTATTGGAGGAGTGATAGACACATAGATCAATGGGACAGGATGAAAATCCCAGAAAGAGAACCACATAAGTACATACACCTGATTTTTGACAAAGGCACAAAGTCAACTCAGTGGAGAAAAATTTTCAGCAAGTGGTGCTAGAATACTTCAATAACCATAAACTAGTAAATGAGCTTCAACCTAAACTTTACATCTTATACAAAAAAAAAAAACTCAATATGGATCACAGTTTAAGATGTAAAATATGAAACTGTAAAGCTTTTAGGAAAAGAAAAGTAGGAGAAAATCTGCATTCTAGAGCAAGGCAGATTTTTAGACTTGACAACACAAACATAATTCATAAAAAGACAAATGATTTAATTGGACCATATCAAAACCAAATTCTTCTGTTCTGTGAAAGACACTGGTAAGAAGATGAAAGACAAGCTGTGTACTGGTCAACTATGTTTCTGACAAAGTCGTGGCATCTAGACTATAAGGAGAGCTGTCAAAACTCAACATTAAAAAACAAGCAGGCAAATTAGCAAAGGGACAAAAACATGAAGGGACATTTTACTACAGAGGATATATGTGTGGTAAACAACCACATGAAAAGGTGTTCAGCATCAAAGGACATGAAAGAAATGCAAATTAAAACCACAGTGAGGTATCTCTGTATACTATCTGAATGGCTAAAATAAAAAATAGTGTTAACACCAAATTCTAGAGAGGAAGCAAAGTTGCATCCCTTACACACTTCTACTCCCTTTATTAAAAGGCTCTTGGGATAGGTCATGCATGCCCACACTCAAGGAGAAGGGAACACACACCAAGGTCATGGGCAATATCAGGAGACACACCAGAATTTTCTCTGCTATAGACTGCATTTGGTGTGGGGCTAGCAGGGATTTGGGTGGTTTCTCTGACACCAGGGAGGTTGAGCCCTAGGCCCTGGTCAGTATAATTCCAGTTTGGTAGCATTTCACTCTATCAAGTTGTAGATCACATGCATTTATAAAATATTTGATGCGGGTTCTAGTTAATATACCTGTTGACTTGTTTTCAGTTGTGATTGTTTTATACTGGCTTACCTTGCTATGTCCGAATCTGATTGAATTTCAAGCTTTGTTACTTAAAGCTGAAAAATGATTACTATTCTTAAGGTTTTTAGTGAAAATCTTGACTTGTGCTGCTGACTTCTTTCCATTTGGAAAGAGGGCTCTGTGCACATAAACAGCCTTTTGTGCTGGAGATAGCCGCGCTTTGCCAATGCCGAGGTCTAGTTTTTTTCCCTCCCAATACCCTGTTGCTCCACCCTCTGAAAGTCACTGACATGGTTTTAGAGCATTTCCTTCTAGAAGATCTCTTCCTCACGCTTATTTTTAAAAGTACTGATTATAAATTTAAGAATCAAAGAGATATTGATCTTCTGCCTGGTTTTTTGGTGCTCTTTGCCTGGGCCGGGTCACTCACTCGAGTAAGACCCATTTATGAAAGCTGCATTCAGGAGCACTTGTGAAAATAAATGATGGCATGCTCATCATCTAGTTTGCCAAGCTTTTCTTGAAAAAGCAGGTAAGTTCTATTGAAATGTGTCTTTTTGCTGTTTGGTGTAAATAACCTCGGTGTTCAGCACATGTGGCCTCGGCATCCTGCATCTCGGTGTCTCCACAGGGGCCTGCCTGGTGGACAGCAGTTCTCTCTGCATTCGGAAATAAGTCTGGCTGTGCCTGGGAGCAAGGCTGAGCTCGCATCTTCCTGGGCAGATGTGGTCGTGTTCTCAGCAAAGAGAGCTGCACATTTCTTTACTGCTTGATTTTCCTCAGAGCCTTAGCTTTTCTAGATGTAGCCCACTTAGAGACGGTACAAATTCAGGAAAAAAGCAGAGAATGTTGGGAAGAGAAGAGGGGAGAATCTAAATGATGCCGTGTAGGCCATTCAGTTACATTTTAATTGGCTTTCAGAGTAGGCGAAAGCCTTTTTTGTCTTTGATTCTCATATTTTAAAGCAAAATAGCTGGGGAAATCTAATTCTCTACTGAGAAATTCGTGTAAACACTGGTGCTTTAAAAACTGTAATGCTAAACTCAAGTTCCTCTACTCTGAACCCACCCCAGGATTCTTTTCCATAATTAGGAACAGATCAAAACTTATAACTGCTAACTGAGGGAATTTGAAACTAACTATAAAAATCTTTGTAGATGCAGTTTAAAATTAAAAACACCACTCCGACTGAAAAGGCCTGTGTGTGGGAGGATGGTGGGTGTGTTGGGGCCAGATGTGCCTGTTTTCTGTTTGGTTGCTCCTGTGGGTGCGCACCCCTCCCTTATACCCCCACTTCCAGAAAGCCATCCTAGGTGTTCTCTCCAGTAAGTAGGGGCTCAGCTGGGTTCAGCCAGACCCGCTGTTTGGGAGGGAAGGTGTCTAAGATAGAGCGCAGACAGCGGGCCTTGTGTGGTGGGAAGGTGGACCACAGAGTTGGGTTCTGGCTTGCTACTGGCTCTGCAACAGAGGTTGTTATTGTAAAGTGGAACTAATATTAAAGCCTCTCCATGCTGGGTGTTTCATCTGTTGGTTTGTATAAGAGGCTAGTGTTCGCAAGTGAAGGCAAATACACAGAATTTGTATTGAGAACTGGGCATTCATTTAGATTCAGAGCTGTGTTTATGGGCACCAGCAGATTGCTCTACTGAGCAAAGGGTGTGTGACACACGTGTTGACTCGGATGTCTTTTTTTAGTAACAACTTTATTGAGATGTAATTCACATGTCATACAATTCACCCATTTAAAGTGCATAATTCAGTGGGTTTTTTTTTAGTACGTTCGGAGTTGTGCAACCATGACCACAATCAGTTTTAGAATATTTTATCACCCCCAAAAGAAATCCAGTACCCATGAACATTCCCTTCCCATTCCTCCCTGCCCCCAGCCCTCGACAGGCCCTCGTCTCCTTTCTGTGTCTAGGGATCTGCCTATTCTGTGCACTTCATGTAAATTACTCACATAGCATGTGCCTTTGGACTGGCTCCTTCCATTTAACATAATGTTTTCAAGGTTCATCTGTATTTAGTTTATTTCAGCACTTCATTTCTTTTTAAGACTGAATAATATTCCTTTGCATGGACATACCATATTTTGTTTATCCATTCATCTGTTGATGGGTACTGGGGTTGTTTTCACTCTGGCTATTATGAATGATGTCAGAAGCTTTGTATTTATTATATAACAGTAAAATATATGTGTGTGTGTATATATGTACATATATATTGGTATTAGATATCTCTACCTTAAGGCTTTTAGGAATTATAATGTCCTGAAATACATTTAAGAACAAAACTGTATAAAGTACAAGTCTTTGTTTCAAATAGCACTGAAGGCTCTTGCACTACCTCATGGTTTCCTTCATGATCATTATTTATTATTCCTTCTTCTTGAAAGTCTCCTGTCTTCTGCTTCTCATCTATGGCTTTGCCTGTTTCTTCTCAACTCTTACTACCCTTGTTCCCTTGGGTTTCCTCTGACCCTGTTTACCCTGGACAGTCTTTATCCACATCACCCTCCACCTCTGGCAGACCTCCCTCATGGAACCACCACAGCCAGGACCCACTGACTTCCTTGACCATCCACTCACTCAGCATACCTGCTTGCCCAAGAGGTGGTAATAATGCACAGATAATGAATGCCTCTTTATGCCAGTGGTCTCTTAAATTTGATGAACATTTTTATATTCTTACTTGTTTTAGGGAGGATATTATCTTGAAGTGAATACACACTGAACACATAAATGTTAAATGAATGAGGGGTACAAAATGAGGCTACCCCCCTCTAGGTAGACTCAAGAATTGGAATTTTAAGCAAATAAGGACGATGTTTTGTTCAGATGAAAGCACCGGGACGTAGCAAACTGAGTTTCTCATCATCAGAGTTTTCAAGTCTTCTAGGTCAAACAGAAAGAACTTAAATCTGATGTCAGGAGCAGAGGGAAGCCGGAGGAAGGTTGTGCTGAAGCCTGGAAATACTGCTCTTGGTTGGGTGGATGGCGCAAGTTTATCTTTCAACTTAGACCTTGAACCCAGGAGGCTGTTTGTAACCTACCTACTCACATGACTTGTTTTTCTGCCACAGATTGCCTTCAGCCAGCACAGCAATTTTATGGACCTGGTGCAGTTCTTCGTGACTTTCTTCAGGTAATTTTTACTTCTATAAATGATATCTGTTCTTTTGATTCAGGCACTTAACCCCATTAATTGAATATCAGCTCACGAAAGATAATAATCCTGTGTTTGCACAGCAGTTCAAACTAACTTCCTGTGTTCCTGAAAAGTCATGTCTGTTGCAGTTGTGTGCATTCCGTCTAATCTGTTAAAATGGAGATACTCGCTTTGTCCTGGCTTTGGGAGTCTGCTTTCCACATACCCTGTACTACAATGTAGATAATTTGATTCTTCATCTTGGGAGAATTTGTGGTCAAGACATATTTAATTAATGATTAATTACTGGTGATTACTGGTATGTGCTGCATGATATGCTTCCTCTTGCTGCTACAGGTAGTCAGGTGACTCTCCAGAGTTTTAAAACTAAAGGTGATTTGTTAGGCCCCTGGGAATCTTTTGTTTTTATAGGGTTTGTTCTGTTTAATTTTATTCTTATAGAAATACCATGTGTACATAATTCAAAATAATGAGTGCTAAGCTACTTATATGAGAAAGCAACAGCATCATGTCCCACACTTTCCCAGTTGCCCTCCTCCCCAATTTGTTTTTGCTCTTCTGACACTTCACCAAACAACTCCCTCCACATCACAAGTTCATACAAAATCCTCTTCTCCCACCGGTTTACTATATTCCATCCCAATGCCTTAACCTTAGATGCATAGTAGAATTACTTGTGGAGTTTTTGATGCCAAGCCACACCCCAAACCAATCACATTAGAAACTCTGGGGATGGAATTAAGCATTCAAAAGCTCTCCAGGTAATTTCAGTATGCCACTAATGCATACTGAATTTAATTTTATGAAGTTAATGCTTTATAGAAGTCTCTGTTGGAAAAGGAAAAAGCACTCAATAAATCAAAAAAAGAACTACTAATTAAAGAAAGTGGAAGGTAGGAATATAGACAGCAAAAATTAATGAAATGGGGGAAAATACAGTAGCAAGAACTGAAGGAACTGTAAATTGGATCCTTGGAAAAGAGTAAGTATAACATTGATAATCTCTAGAAAGCATAACCAAGGAAAAGAGAGAGAACATATAAATAATGTCAGAAATAATAAAGGGGCCATTACTCCAAATCCTGCAGGCATTCAGACATTTTTTTTCCTCCAGAAGAGTATTTTATGAGTAATTTTAAAGCATATAAATTTGAAAATGGAATAAATAGTATGCATTAATAGTATACACTGCTGAGGGGAGTAGCAGGCCGCAGGAGAGGTCTGCGCGCCATGTGGGACCCTCCCCCAGGGGGCCGAGGATCGAACTGGTGCTGCAGAGGCTTCGCAACCCAGCACTCAACTGCTGCGCCACTGGGGGAGGCCCTGCATTAGTTTTTAAAAACCTAAAAACTATATTCAATTTACCCAAACTGACACAGAAGAAATAGGAAACCTGAATAATCCTATATCTGTTCTAAAATACATCAAGTTTTCTAACCAGGTAAACTCTAGGTGCAAATGGCTTCATTGGTAACTCATAATCTTCTAAGGAAGAAATACTCTCAATGTTGGCTAAATTTCCTAGAGAGCAAAAAAAAGAAGAAATACTTCCCAATTTATTTTATGAAGTTATTAGCACAACCTGACAATATTATGCAAAAGGAATTTAGAAACCAGTCTCATTCATTAATGAGGAATCAAAAATCCACCACTAATATAAACAGGCTACCAGTTGGGTGTATTCCAGGAATTGCAGTGTTGGTTTAGCATCAGAGAAATCAATCAGTGTAATTCACAATTATTACATAAAGGGGGAGAATAATATAATCATCTTAATCAATGGGGGAATAATTTAATATTAATTATTAAAAACTCTGAAGACACTAGGAATAGAAAGAAATGTCTTTGAATCTGATAAAGGAACAATACATAAGCCAGTAGCAAGCCACCATTCATTAATGGTGAAATGCTTTCCCTTTGAGTTTGGAAACAAGACAAATAAACCACTATCACTCAAACATTGTGATAGAGGTTCTAGCTAAACAGATAAATGAATAAAATGCATAAGTATTGGAAGAAAAAAAATCATTACTCACAGCATGATTGTATCAATAGAAATGCAAAAAAATCTACAGCTAAAGTATTAGAATTAGTAGGTGAAGTTTATCAAAGTTTTTCAATACATGCACAGTATTAAAAAATCAGTTCCGTGGAGTTGAGAGGCATGCTCCTCTTGCAGCTCTTTGTCATTAAGTCAGAGGCTGGCATGAAAATTATGATTTTACGCCGACCTGGCAGGGGAGATGCCATGATCACGAAAATCATAGTTTTATTTCCCATAGAAAGCCCTTAGGTGCCCTCCTCCCCCCTGTACCCTAAAAGAAGAATGATGCTGGAGAGCAGATGGCCATGTGTCAAGATTCATCCATTTCCTGTTGGGCCCACTTCTGCCCACTGTGAGCTGATGAAGCTGACAGAGAATTGTCAAATTACTAGCTTGCCCTTTTCCATAGATCATTCACTTGTAATACATATATTTTTTACTTTGGTTGCTCATGCATTTTGTTCCCCAGAGTGTGAGAGACCCAGCATCTTGCGTAGCCTTTACTTAGTTTCTGGATGGTTACGTCTCCACCTAGAAGCAACTGGCTTCGTCCCTCCAATCTTGGAGGAAGATAAAAGAATCTAATAAAGACATTTGGTATTTCAGGGCGGGGTAGGGGGAATCATTTATATTTTTATATTATACCAATACAAAATGAAATATGTTTTTGTTATTTTGATAAATGTTCAACATTGTAGGTCTCTCTGGTGGCCTAGTGCTGTCACCACTATGGCATGAGTGCGGTCCCAGCCAGAGAGCTACCCACATGGCACAACAGACCTCTCCTGTCTCGCCCGCTGCTCCCCTCAGCAGTGTATTTCAGTGGATCTGCCTGTTCTGCTCCCCGCTCTGTCTCTGGTGAATCCTCTCACCAACCACCGTCCCCCCGGCACCTCTGGCCTATACCCCAGTTCTTCTACATAATTAAATAAATAAAAATCTTAGAGTAAAGGAATAATTCTTTAAAAAATAAATAAACAAATGTTCAACATTGCATTGTATCTAGATCTAGAAAAAATGACCAGAAATCAAAAAGGGGGGCAGAGGGGCGAAAACAATAGACTGTCCACTAGCCCTTGAGTGCAGGGAGCACTTTCTGTGGGCAGTGGCACAAAGTCACATTGGCCAGGGCACATGATCATGGAGACAGATAAAGTTTGAAAGGTTCAAATTTGTATCAACTTAAAAGACTTTAAGTGATGAAAAATTAAATGAAAATAAGGCATAAATAGTAACAAACAAGAATCTAAAAGATCTATATAGCACTAGCTCTACTAGTAGCTCATTGTAAGTGCTTGCAATGTAGCTGGTGCAATGGAGAAACTGAATTTTTCATTGTATTTGATCTGATACTTGATCAGTTATCAAAATGTTTAAGTATGTGACATATAGTTAGACATGTGAATTTTGTGAATTCTAAATATAGGTAGAATAATATTTCCTGTTAAATGTAGGGGTCAACCAAGATGTGCTTATAAATATAAAATACACAGTGGATTTTAAAGACTTAGCAGAAAATAAAAATGTAAAATATCTTAATAATTTTATGTTTTGGTCACCTTTTCAAATGTTTTGGCTCTCTTGGGTTAAATAAAAATATATTATTAAAATTAACTGCACTTTTTACGTTTCTTTTTACGTTTTTAGTGTGGCTACTACAGCATTTAAATTATATGTGGTTTCATTAAATTTCTGTTGGACAGTGATGATATGCTAATGCAAAGGGAAGAACTTAAAGGGACAGCATAAAAAGATAGGATGAAATAATAACGAACATTTTAAAGCAAAAATATTAAATATTCATTTAGAGCTTTTAAAGTAGCAAGTCAGCATACAGAAATTCTTAGTAGTTACCAAAAGTAATTTATATTCATAGTGAAAGTTCAAACAGTGTAAAAATACAATAAAAATAAAAATTTACCCTAATCTTAATTGCTCTTTCGTAATTACCACTGTTAATATTTTGGTGCTCATGTTTCTAAAATATTCTCTCTCTCTCTCTCTCTCTCTCTATATATATATATATATATATATGTATATATATATATATATACACACACACACACACATACACAAACACACACACATATATACCCACATACATATATGTATTTCTCATATATATTTTGAAATTTTTTGCTTTATAAAATGGACTACCTCCTTACATGTTGTTCCATAATTTGCTTTCTATTCTGTATTCTATGGTTAACAATTGGAGAGTCACTTCATTTTTTTTTTAAATATATATATATATATATTTTAAGATTTATTTATTTATTTATACAAGCACTGGGTACAGTCAGAAGCACAGGAGGGTGAGAGAATTCACCAGAGCCAGAGCGGGGAGCAGAGCAGGCAGAAGGACCAAAGTACACTGCTGAGGGGAGCAGCGGGTGACAGGAGAGGTCAGCGCACCATGTGGGACCCTCCTCTGGTGGCCGGGGAGCAGGCAGGGGAACGAACCGGTGCTGCAGAGGCTGCGGGCAGCTTCGCAGCCCAGCGCTCAACCGCTGAGCCACCGGGGAGGCCTGAGTCACTTCATTTTTTAAAGCAATTTTCTCCCTCCAGTATATCAATATGTTTACCAACCCAGAAGCTCCCCCAAACCTCCATTTTATCTCCTTTTTTTAAAGTTTTATTTCCTAGGCATGACTGATAAAATCACTAGCCATTGGTGACTGAACTCAGTCTCTAGCCCCTCACATTTTGGGGGTTGGGAGTGGGTAAAAGTCTGAGTCTCTAATCATGCGACTATCTATCAACCAGCCTCCATCCTGAAGGTCCGTTCTTCCCAGGAGCCACTTTTAGCATATAAAAGATACTCCTAATTTATATCTCACACCTGTTATAAAAAAGTAGTTTATTCAGACTCAGAGATTTGTCATTTTTATTATGCCCTCTGTGTTATATAAATAACGTGATACAAAAACTA